GATCAAAGGCTCAGCTTGACTCAGCAAAAACTCAGCTTGGCTAGAGTACCCAAAACTGGCAAAAACTCTGGCGTCGAGGTAGTGGCAGTCAGCAGCTTAAAAACACTCCGTTAACGAGGAAACCATCAGCAGGTGTGTGAGGAGGCGGACCAGAACCAGGCGATAAACACAAACACAAAAACATGAGTCCTGACATTATTTACGGTAAATGCATAACATGGTCGTTCATACCTACACATCGCCTAACGTCTGTTAAGTTTCTAATTTCATAAAATGTTATACGGTCCTGTTTTGGTAAGAAAGAAACAGAAAACAAACAAAAGTCTGGTTGCCTTACACTATTAAGCCTGTTTTGAGTTTCCAATACATCAGCTAAGAGTATTAACCAATATTGATTTAATAGTGATCAGCACTAAACATAGATACTTTTATATCATATGAGTCAAATGTTGTTAAAGACTTGATTAAGTGATGTTACTAATAAGAGAACAATTGTCAACATGTATGAGAAGAACTGATGATTTTATTATAGATGAATGGGTTAAATAAACTTTACTCAGGAACAGGAGGAAGCTGAGTGTCACCATCACCATTTTGGAGATTTTAGAAGGAGGCTGGTATATTCTGATAAACATTTTTTGGCCGATTTCAGACCAGTTGGTAACGATCTTGGTTCTGTTGTTTTTCTCTAAGTTTTCAGTTTCAAGTTTAGCCAGGTTTTTTCTTGTTTTCTAGCTTTATTGGTGTGTCTGGATTCATTTAAGTTTGTTTGGTTTTTCTGTCTGTCCTCTGTTGCCCCCTTGTGTTCTTTTCCCTTGCCTTCCTCATCAGCTCTAGTCACACCTGCTCCTTATCAGCTCATTAGTCCTGCCTTTGTTCAGTCAGCCATAAATACACTCCCTCTGCAGTCCCTCTTTGCTGGTTCCTCATCTTACTTTTTCTCACCCTGGCTCCTTGATGGTTTTCCCCTGATGTCTCCATGGTTCTGGTTTGTGTTTAACATTTTTAAGTTGGATTTTTGGATTCCTTTTGCTGCCTGTTCTTTCATTAAACCTTTTAAGAACTCACCCCTCCCGGTCAGCCTCTGCATTTGGGTCCTCACAAAAACCTCCAAACAAATCGTGACACAGTTTCAAAAATCAATATCAGATCAGGACATCCCTAATCTGTGGTTTCTACTAGATTTGATTTGAACAAAAAAAAAATGATGCATTTCAGCTACATTATCTTATTATAAATAGATGTTTATCAATGTTAAATATATAATTCATACCTATAATTTATGCATATCTTTTTAATCAGACCACGGCATGCTGATTATCCATATTTAGTTGTGTTTTTTTGGAACCGTGCACCAGGCTATAATGTATCCCTGTATTTCTACTTTGGAGTTGTTGGCATTGACCTCCTTTTGTTTAACACCTGTAAACAGGGAGGGTGTAGGTCCAGCGGGGCACTCTCTCTCTCCTATACTGGACCCAGCTCAGCTTATAGATGCAAGAGAAATGCTATAGTGACTCTAAATCAATTTATAAACCAGTCATCATCATGGGCCAGGTAATGTTTTCGATCCCTGAAAACATGTTCCCTCCTAATTCTGTCCTGCAACAGATATATCCGCCTCGCACCATTTCATACGGTGTCACAACAGTTTTTAAATCTTTACAGCAATCGTTTAATTACCTCACACCTTTACACAATTGATGTGTTCATCAGTGTTTCGACTTGCCCTGGTGATAATCGGAGGAATATGATGGTGAGGAAACGTTAACGGAACAGACTTAGATTTTTTTTTTTTAAACCCTAAAACGGTTTTGTGAGTGTGTCACAGAAACCTTGTATCAGCATGAATGGTGGACTGTTTTAGTTGGTACCTTAGAGGCATAGATGGAGCAGAACAGTTAACGTGGTTTGAACCTTCTGGGATGGTAAAGTGTGAACAGATTGGTCTGTTGTGTTTTCATTCTGACTGGGAAGTCATTAAATCATTCCAAACCCTGATAACTTTAACCACATGCTAAGCTTTTACCTCCACCCATGGGACTACGCAACATCTGGAATTGCTTTCAGATTTCATTCTGATAGTTTGATGTTCTATAAAAGCCTCTTAGGAATAGGACAAGACGTCTGTTTTGACATGAGCACCTTTGGACCGAAAAATGTTTCCCTCCCTGAAAGGGGAAACGTTAAACATGCTTCTTAAGTCAACGAAATTACGTTGACAAATTCCTCCTTGAATAAAGTCCATCTGCTGACCCCACCCACTCACTCCACATACATTTGGGTGTGCGTGACCCCAAAACATGGCCTGATAACGATGACATCAACTTGTAGAACCATAAGCTCAGAGAAAACACGTTGGTGTTGCTGTTTCACAATAAAAACTTGACTCTTCTTTTCTAGGAGTGCAGAGGTGCCTTTCTGAAAATGGTGAAAGCCTATTTTCACTAATTTTTATTATCTGCCTGGGCTTTGTCAGATTATATTCAACCTTTCCTCTCTGAAAAGTACGGAAGAGGATTAGGGCCACTGGGGAAAAAAAAGAAAAAAACATATTT